TTCACGGTCCCAATCAACGGTCAAGAGGCAATAGTAATCCTCCACAACACTCAATATCTAGCACAACTCATAACGGAGGGAATGAGGTTGGCTATGAACAGCTATCTCAACCAAGTTTGACTAAACAACATTATTCATCCAATGGCTCCGTCATTAAACCCTCAAATGGCTCAGGTAATGAGAGAACAATGGAGCATGCCACCCCAGTTCAATCCCATAAACCCTCAAAATGCTCCCTTGGACCTTCCCTTCTTCCCCTTGGAGATGTACACTCATCTCAATCCCATCTTTCTTCCTTGGGGCATCAACCAGCGGAACCAAGAGATTCCAAACCCACCTCCGCCCCCTCCAGTACCTCCACAACAACACCAGGCAGACCCAATACCCGGTCCTGTGGAAGCAGAAATGGAGGAGGACGATATCCCTCTAAACCTAAACTTAGGGCCAGTCCTAGAACTCTCAAACCTAGACGGAATAAAAAAAATTCTCTTCACGGAGAGGCACGAGAAGAGATATGTGCTCAGCTACCCGTTAGCCCTATACAAGTGCTCGATGGACATCCGTGCTCCACACAACCCAACAGTGGGCAACAAGGCGATAATCTTAGTACCTTCGATGAGAAGAAACCCTGTCCTATTGGGAGGGGTAAGGGAGAATGGAGAGATGGTCAACCCTGAAGTTAATCTATCAATGAATCGTCCTACCAATTTTATAATATGGAATATAAGGGGAGGGAACAATGAAAATTTCAGGAGAAATTTTAGGGAAATGATCGATACTCATAGGCCCTGCATGGTGACACTGTTGGAAATAAGAATGGTTAACCATGCAGCCATGCTTAATGACTTTGGGTTCACTGAGATGATCGAAGTTCCTTCGGAGGGTCAGTCGGGAGGCATGGTTATGATGTGCAAAGATGAAGTAATCAATGTTCAAATTGCAGTACGTAGGAACCAAGAAATTCATGCAATCATAGAGGTACTTCCCATACGCAAACCTTGGCTTTTTATTTCTATGTATGCTAGTACTTGTGTTTATAATAGAAATATAATGTGGGAGCATCTAGAAAATATTAGCAACTCTTATAAAGGGCCTTGGCTAGTAGGAGGCGACTTTAATGATATTCTAGCCGCTAGTGAAAAATTTGGTGGTAAACCTATTAAGAGCTAGATGCATATGGTCAAAAATCAATAAGTGTAACTTGCTCTATCTAGGCTTTAAAGGTAGCAAATATACTTGGACAAACAATAGGCATAATAAAAAAGGTCTTATATTGGAAAGACTTGATAAAGTTTTTGGAAATGAGGAGTGGATTGAACTCTTTCCTAAAAGCTCAATAATCCACCTGCCTATAATCCACTCTGACCATAACCCTATTCTTGTAGAATTGATCCCAAAAAATAGGTCTCTTCATAAAATTCCTTTTAGACTAGAGATTTTTTGGTGCAAACATCCAGATTTCCAAACAATAGTAAAAAATAATTGGAATGATAGTGACTACTTCAAAGCCAGCCTTAACTTTGTGGAAAAATTAAAACCCTGGAAAAACAACACCTTTGGCAATATTATGGGAAGGAAGAGGAAATTGCTAGCTAGACTCCAAGGTATCCAAACTTCCAATAGCTATACTACCAGCATTTTCCTTCGTAAGTTAGAATTAAATCTCAAAAATGAATTCAATGATATTCTAAAAATTGAGGAAGATTATTGGAAACTAAGGTCCAGAGTCTTGTGGCTTAATGATGGAGACACAAATACAAAATTCTTCCTTGTCTTAGCCACCAATAGGAAAAGAAGAAACAAAATAAATTTCTTCAAAGATGATGCTGGTAATTGAATTAATGATCATAGTCAGATTATGTCTCATGTTCATAATTATTTTATCTCTACTTTTACCTCTTATCACTCACAATCTAGTTGGGCTAACCCCCTAAATCATCATTTTAATTGTAATAAAATCAACCTAGGCAATCTAGATAATCCCCTTCTAGACTCTGAAATTAAAAGAGCTATTTTTTCGTTCAAACCCTTTAAATCTCTTGGTCCGGATGGTTTGCATCCTTTTTTCTTTCAAAAATATTGGCATCACATAGGTCAATCAGTTTGTAACCTTTGTCATGACATTTTCAACAACCAAAGAAATCCCTCTTGAAATTAACAAAACCTTTCTCTGCCTCATTCCTAAAATCCACAATGCCAATAACATTAAAAATTTCAGGCCTATTGGTTTATGCAATACTATCTACAAACTAATCACTAAGATCCTTGCAAACCGTCTTAAACCATTCCTAGATCAATTGATCAGTCCATATCAGGCTAGTTTCATGAAAAATAGAATAGCGTCTGATAATTCCATCATCATCCAGGAACTGGTCTCTAAATTTAATAAATTAAAAGGAAAGCAGGGCCACATGATTCTAAAAATTGATCTAGAAAAGGCCTTTGATCGTTTAGAATAGTCTTTCGTTCGCCACACTCTTGACTACTTTAAATTCCCACCCAAATTTTCTAAATTGTTACCGAGCTGCATCTGCTAGTAGTATAGCAATTTTAGTAAACAGATTCGTCACAAATTATTTTGAGCCAAGTAGGGGAATAAGACAAGGGGACCCCATTCCCCCTATATCTTTATCCTTTGCCTGAAAATGCTCACTAGATACATATAGCACCAAGTGGACACTAAAAATTAGGATCTCATATCTTTAGGACATAGATGTCCAAAAATCTCTCATTTATTATTTGCAGACGATCTTACCCTAATGGCTAGAGCAAATGATAAATCATGTCAAGCCATTAAATATGGACTTGACCAATTTTGTTCCCTATCAGGTCAATGTATCAATATTACAAAATCAAAAATACTCTTCTCCCAAAATTGTAATCATACTCTTATTAGGGATATTAACACTATGTTAGGAATTAAAAAAAGTACTAATTTTGGCACCTACCTTGGTTTTCCTATTTTAAACCATAGCCCAAAGCCTAGGTACTATCAATTCCTAATCGACAAGATGAGAACCAAACTTGCATCATGGAAAATGAAATTCTTTAATCTGGCTGGAAGAACAACCCTTGCAACATCATGCCTAAATTTCATTCCTAACCACTACATGCAATACACCCTTCTTCCCAAGCAAACCCTAAAAGAGATTGACAAAGTCCAAAGAGACTTTATATGGGGTAGCTCAATAGAAAAAAGAAAAATCCACCTAGTCAACTGGTCTACCCTTTGCCAACCTAAACCCAATGGTGGCTTAGGTATCCATAATGCTCTTAATAAAAATCTTTGTACTCTAGCTAGCCTAAGTTGGAAACTTCTCACTAATTCCACAATCCCTTGGGCCAAGCTTATCATCTCATACTATTGTACTAGTCCCATAATGAATAGGTCTTCCTTCGTTTGGAAAAGTATTTGCAAAGGTTGGGAAATTTGCTCTAAGGGTATTATATGGTCCCCCCACCTTCACTCCAACCTTAACATATGGGAGACAAATTGGATCCCCAAATTTGGAAACCTAAGAAAAAATATGATAGGCCCACCCTCCACTAGGGATACTCTAACAAAAATTAGAGATATCTTTGATAGTTGCAATTGGAATTTGGATAGTATAGATAGATTAACGTTATTTTAGAAATCGAACTAAAGGTACAAGTAGCTAATACTATATCCTTAAATTTCAAATATTAAACTTGTGTTTTTTTAGCAAAAGCAACAAAATAATTTTTTTTGCGAGGGCGTGAGGGGCAGGTATTTGTGGGGTAGGTTGAAAGCAAGAAAAATGCTATGCGAGCGGGGGCGAAGAGGGTTTAAATTTTGCGCGTTAAGTCGCACCCGCCCCGCCCCATCGCCATCCTTGAATATAATGTGCATTTTAGGAAAGAGAAATTTTTTCTCTAAATACGGTAGACATATTCAATCTTTTTTTTTTACCAATGAGAACCCAACGTAGCCATATTATTTATTTTGATTAATAAGAAAAATATTTTCTCTCCTTGTTTCGACTTTGATAAAAAAATTCTATTTTGGGCTCTTAACGGTGGTTAGACCGGTCATGCTGTATGGTGCAGAGTGTTGGCCAGTCATGAATTCTCGCAGAAATGAGGATATTGATATGGATGTGCGGGCACACTAGGTTGGATAGGATTAGGAATGAAGATATCCAGGTTAAGGTGGGCGTGGCTTCCATGGAAGACAAGATGCGAGGAGCTAGGTTTAGATGGTTCAGGCACGTGCGAAGAAGAAGCATGAATGTTCCGGTAATGAGGTGTGAACGGCTAGCCTTGATGGATATGAGTAGAGGTAGATGGCGGCTACAGAAGTATTGAGGAGAGGTGATCAGGTAGGACATGATGCGGCTTCAGATTTTCGAGGACATGGCCCTTGATAGGAAGCCGTGGAGGTCGAGCATTAAGATCGTAGATTAGGAGGTAGGAGGCTAGTCTAATAGTGTTGTGTCTCAGGCTGCTAGTAGCTCGTGTGGTGTCCATATTATCTCATTAGGTTTGCAGGTTAGGTTGTAAGAGGCTAGTTTGATAGTGTTTTATCTTAGGATGCAGTGGCTCTTGTTGTGTCCTTATTACTTCCATTGTGTATGTAGTATTATGCCATTGTTACCGCTTATTGTTATTGCTTTTCTTTCTGCTTTCTGGTTATTACGTTGCTGGTGTTATCTTTCTGACTTCCTTTGATACTGCTCCACTTTCCTTTACCATTGTCGTGAGTCGAGGGTCTATCGGAAACAGCCTCTCTACTCCTGCAGAGTAGGAGTAAGGTCTGCGCATACACTATCCTCCACAGACCCCACTTGTGAGATTCTACTGGATCGTTGTTGTTGTTGTTGTTGCTGCTCTTTGAAGGCCAGAAAAAGTAAATGTTTTCCATATATCAACAGGGTAATAGGACATAACTAAAAGCAAGGGGCAAATATTGTACATGATTCAGAACTACGGGACCAAATCGATATTTTCCCTTAATTTCGCCAGGGCTTTGCTAGGGTTTAACAGAGAAATTTTAGGCCTTTCTTCTTCAGAAAAAGGGAAAGCAAATTAGCTTCCCCCAACTCACAAAAATGTCAAGACCAGAACTTCTAGCACCGCCAGAAATTTTCTACAACGACGATGAAGCTCGAAAGTACACCTCATCTTCTCGAATTATCGACATACAGGTATGTAGCCTATTATTTTGTCTTTTTAATGGTATATTCATAGTGCTACAGCCCGAGGCGCCTTTAGGATGTTAATTCAATGTGCTGAAATAGCACAAAACGTGACGCTGTTTGATTGTCATTGAGTTTAAGAAAGAAATATAGACTTTTGAAACTTCTTGTTCAAAACAATTCATTGACATTTGTGTGATTATAAATTATCTCATTAAACTTAAAATGAAATTTTAAGTTAATTGTTTCTAAATATAGAATGTATCATTCTTTTCGGGGATAGACTAAAAAGAAAATTGTGTCATATAAAATGGAATATAGGGAGTATAACTTCCTAATAGTGGGTGCTTATTTTGTAAAAGTATATATTTTTAAAAAATTTCAACTATATAAGAAAGCATAATGGATGCTCCCACACTTGCTGCCAATAAAGTTATATGGCATAGGATGCTTCTGACGTTTGTTTGTATTTTCTGAAAGACACAACTTTCTGAGAGAGCATTGGAGCTTCTTGCTTTGCCAGATGATGGCATCCCAAGATTACTTCTTGATATTGGTATGTATATATTTTTACGAGTATTTAGCTGATTTTTTTTGTGAATGTAATATAGGTGAATTCGATGGGCTGGATTTAGCATTGATCTGATATTTGTGAATGAAAAGACACGGAATGGAATATTTTTAGTTGATATATGAGCATAGTAAGGGTAAAGGAATAATTGAAGCATGTTTTACAGGTTATTCATTTGAATTTCTTATCTTAATTGCTAAGGCGTGAAATACTTGTAACGAGCATTTTGAGCTTCATGTTGCACTTAAAGATAGTTTGATAGGACTAGTTTGTGGCTAGTCCCTTTCCTCTTATTAGTCGGATGCATTTTGGAACTTATAGGTCACAGGCTCGAGAGATGGAAGCAACCACTAGTGCTTGCATTAGGGTAAGCTGTCTACATCACACCCCTGGAGGTGTGGCCCTTCCTCCGACCCTGCATGAACGCAGGATGCCTTATGCACTGGGCTGCCCTTTTTTTTTAATACATTGATATTAAATAGGAGAAGGTAGCCAAGCTGAGAAATCTCCTTATATCCTATACTTTTCCAAGCATGGTTGGTCCTTCTCGTGTATAGTAAAGCTTATTCAATGCTTATGGGTATAGTGATTAGGGAAGAAGAAGAAAGGAACTCATCCTATGTGGAGAAAGTTTTAAAGGTTTGATTTAAATCGGAAAAACCCAAGTGTTTAGCCTTTTTAAATTGTTGAACAATCACAATAACACAATGTGCTTGATTGGCCTTTTATACTGTAGAGTGAGAAAGTGCCTTCATGTTTACTGGTGTAAAGAATCGGTGCCAGGTTTGGTTTGTGTGCTGCTGAGTTAAGTTAGGTAGATTATATCATCCTCCACACTTGAATGGTTGTAATATCTGGAATTGTTGTACTCATGGATCCTACAGCTTTATTTTCAAAAGAAAGACGTTCCTTCAATTGTTTAGTTTGAGATTTCATGCTTATTTCGACTTATTCAGTTGTAGAAAAACTCAAAGAGAAAAAATAGTGATCTTCGGTTCTTTCTTGCTTTTCGAAGGTTGCGGATCAGGTCTAAGTGGGGAGACACTCACTGAGCACGGACACCAGTGGCTTGGTTGGGATATATCAGAATCAATGCTTGGTTCGTAGATTTCTTCTTATACGAGTAAATAACTTTGATCTTGCTATAACCGTTATTGGACTGCTAAATAATGGTTTTCATTTTCTAGATATTGCATTGGAGCGTGAGGTTGAGGGTGATCTAATTCTGGGTGACATGGGTCAGGTAGGCCACTTAGTTTCCTCTGAATGATTGCTTCATCCTACTCTCAATTGTGATTGTATGCACCTTGTTATTATTCTATATTCCTATTGCCAGCGCCGTAAGTCCTTTAAAATTGTCTAGACAGTTACATGCTCCACCACCCAGAGTACATGTCTTATCGGTTGAGAAATCTCAAAGTGCAAAAAAAAAAAAAAAAAGGAAAATACTGTGGTAGAGTCTCATGAAAACATTAAGCATGCTAATGAACCTATCAAAAAATGTTACAATTTACAAATTCATGGAAGCAAACCTTCAGCTCTACCCATAGGTCGCTAAGTATGATAGTCCATTTAGGGTGATGCATCTTTCTTCTCTGTTTCGAAGATATCAAGTGATGATGTTATGCTTACAAGTTTACGACTTGTAATGCTACTCTCGAATTGAGAGCCGGATATCCGCAATTTCATATCTCATGTATTTTTTCCGGCAGGTCACCTATTTATTAGGTGGTGTTTTGCACCAATATCAACCCATGTACATTTCTTCCCTCTTATATAATGTGAAACAATAATCTGCCTATAACTATGGTGTAAATTGGGATTTTCAAGGCAAAGGCATTTTAGCCATATTCTTAGTCATTTGCATGATTTGTTTTTAAGGTCCTTTTTTGCTAGAAGACTGGATAAGATGAAAGATAGTGAAATGTGGCTGCCTATCTTGGTCAAATGAGATTACTTATCAACTGAGTTGTACTAATCTTTGTTCTTTGAAATGTAGTACCTTCTTGTAAAATAATTATTTTTCTCATTGCTCTTGATAAAACTTTTGTGTTGATAAAGATGTTACAAGTTGTCAAAGAATGGATAAATCAAATTTGTACCTGCTATTTTTCTTGCAACCTGTTCTTATATGGAATGCCACAAATGATTGGTTGCATCTATCGTAGGGCTTAGGGCTTCGACCTGGTGTTCTGGATGGTGCCATCAGTATCTCAGCTGTGCAGGTATCTTTTTCTCTTCTTTGTTTAGATCTTCAGTTTTACCGAGTTGATAACGGTATAGTTATCAGGCAGAACTTGACAATTTAGAATCATGTATAAAATTTTATTGTTTGATTCTTCATAATCAATTTTGTGCATTTGATATAAAAATATTTAGAGGGTGTTTGGATTGGCTTATTTTAAGTGCTTATTGGCTTTTAAGCACTTTTTTAGTTTGTGTGGTGTTTGGCAATGATAAAAAGTACTTAAAAGCACTTACTTTTAGGCATAAAAAGTACAAAAATAAGCCAAAAGCCAAAAGTTGGGTATTACCAACTTATGGCTTTTGGCTTTTAGCTTAAAAGCTACTTTTTATAAGCCAATCCAAATACCCTCTTAGCCTGTGCATTACTTTCAAGAGTTACGGCTTGCTGTTAACTTCGTACTCATCATCTCCTTTGCATATGTTTTCTGGTTATGACTTCATTCGGTTCCTGTATGAATCACCTTTAGATGTTTTTGGTGAGTTATCAGCATTTAATGATTTTTTCCTCGTAAAAAATCAGTATGTACCAATTTATATAGCCTCTTAACACATTAGTGCTTATCAGTTCTGATTTACATAATTTTCCCAAGCAGTGGTTGTGCAATGCTGACAAATCTTGTCATGAACCTCGGATAAGATTGAAGTAAGTAGAAAACTTCGTTCTTATTGTTAGTTGGTCAATTGTGCATATTAACCTGCTTAAGATCCATATACGATGTCATTGTAGTAGAATAAATCATTCTCCTTCTAGCTATCTAAGTAGTATGAATTTTGCTCATAACTCCGCAGGGCATTCTTTGGTTCCTTGTATAGAAGTTTGGGAAGGGGAGCAAGAGCAGTACTCCAGATCTATCCTGAAAATCTTGCTCAGCGGGAGCTGATTCTGGGTTTTGCCATGCGAGCTGGATTTTCTGGAGGAATAGTTGTTGACTACCCACACAGGTTAGGAAGACGCTTATAAACTTGTTTTGCTGTCATTTTCATTTTTCTAATTTCATTGTGTAATAGTTTTGAAATTAGGATGTGTTTGGCAAAGTGAAAGTTTAATATGTTGAACACGAAAATGAAACGAATGAAGCAAAAGTAGCTGAAGAAAAGGTGGCAAAAAGAGCAAAAAAGATTTATCCCTTTCTTGTATAGCTGCAAAAAGATATGCGAGACTGGTTTTTTCTTCTACCCTTTTTTCAGATAAAGTTATTTCTTCTACCGTTTACCATTATATGACTCTAAAGGTTTTGCTTTGGTACTTGAAAAGATATTGCCTTAGAAATGAATTCCCCTGTATCAATAAGGTTAAGCTTTACAGTCAGAAAAGCAATATAGATGTCGTATATCAGACCGATGGTGAATCTTGGAGAAAGCACACAGTTTCAGTTCATTGAAGAAGTTATTTATACTTGGTTTTTCTTCCCACCCAGAAGTTAAATATTTTGACTCTGAAGACAAGTATCATCCTCTCCAACTCAGGATGGGTCCTTTCTACCTTTACTCTCCTGTTTCACTTGAATATTGTACGAGCATCTCCTCTGTTCTGACCTTTTTTCCTTTGGTTTATGGGTGGGGTTGAGGCGTTAAGTATCTCTTCTTTTCTACGTAGGACTGTTTTGTTCACCAATCTGGCCATTAGTTCTAGCTTAGGTGGATAGGCTTTGTGTTCCTCAGAAGAAAAGTACTTGTTTTTTTCTTTATTTATAAAAAAGAGTCATTCCTTTTCTGCAAAGTAGGATTTGATTTTTACCAGATTGTATCTACATTTCATTTGAATAATTGAATGACTTTCCACAATGATGAATTTTTTTCCCACATAATGTAACCTTCCAAGTTTTCACCGAAGCTTTCTATCCTTTCGATGCCCTAAGAAGTTGTACGTGCAGCCCCACTCCTCAACCTCAAAGTAGAACCGAACATGAATTTTGTTGGTGATTGAGATGTATGCTAGCTATACCCCAGGACACGACTACAATGCATTTTCAAGTGAAAGTTCAATTCTTTTTTATTTGGTTTTAGTCCTGACACAAGGTTAGATGTTCTTTCTTTGTCACAGTTCTAAAAGGAGGAAAGAGTACTTAGTTCTGACTTGTGGTCCGCCGTCTCTCAGCACCACTACTCCAGATGGAAAGGGTGAAGATGGAGAGAGTTGCTCTGATGAAGACAGCAGCGAGGATGAAGAAAACCAGACAGTACGTAATTCAAGGGAAACTGACTAACTGTGCTGAAGCTAACCAATGGCTCTTCTCCTCCCTACCATCTGTTATTTTTATTTACTCCTGTTACTATCTTTTCTTCTCTATCTTCTGTTACTGTCTTTGATCATCCCGTTTCTTTCATTTCACCCTGCCCTGCAGGTTTGCATATCTGATCGGCGTAGACCTAGAAAAAAGCAAAAATTGAACAAGAAAGGCAAAGGGAGGGATTGGGTTCTGAAGAAGAAAGAACAGATGAGGAAAAAGGGGAACGCAGTTCCTCCAGATAGCAAATACACAGCACGTAAAAGAAAAGATCGGTTTTGATCCATTAGTAAGATATATCTAGATTGACTTATTTGTTTTGAACACAACTTCAGTTATTTTTTTGCGTGTATTATGTAAAGATTCTGGGATAGTCTTGTGAGACCTAAATATTATATTTCAGCTGAGTTCAAGAGTAAACAAGATAGTTGGAGGTTGCTTTTCCAGAGATTTGAAGCCTAGTTTGATCATGTAGTGTGTATTTACACCTATCCTGGAGTTACTTTTTTCCTTAAGCAGTAGAAACTGTGTTTATTTTTCAAGTGGCGGGATTCGTTGTCAGTTTGTTATCCCAAGTTAATAGTTAAGAGTGGGCGGAGGAAGAATCGTTGAATTCACTCTAAAGAGAAAAAAACTACTAGGTTTAAGTTTTCTATATGACCATTTATAGTCTTTTTGGCAGTTAAAATGAAACAACTTCTATTGTTGCCTTTGTCCTCAGGCTGGTTAATCTAGAATTTTGCCTTTTTTTGTTGCCTGCTTCATTGATTTTATACATCTGTATGTCAAGAGTGACAAAAACAGTCATGCACTTGGGTTGAGTTTTGATTATATTAGCGACATTCAAGAAGGAAAAAGAATGCAAACTTTACAAGTGGAACATTCTAGGTTGATAAAATCTACCTTTTCGTTTCTTCATTTTAATACATATTTTGAAATTCACTAGTATTTTTGTACCACTACTGAGTACTATGTAATAAAATCCATCGATACTGATCTCATGCATGTCAAGTTAAACAATTCTACCACAATACTCATCTTATAAATACACGTTTGGACAAATGTTGAAGTGTGATGCATTTATATTAAATCTGGACTTAGTTTTGTGACGTTCAAAGGGCAAAGTCAACGCAATACGATAAATAATATACATTTTAGGTTGATAAGACTACATTTTACCTCCTTTGTACAACTAGTTGCATATTCATCATGAGATTGTAATTGTAGGTACTTTTTTGTTGGCACCAACATTACAACTGTATATGTTTTGCTCACTCCCATTAGTTATTTTAGTTTACATAAGGTATTTATTAGTAATAGATTTCTTTTATGTACTCTTTAAACTAATTAAATTCCTTATTACAACTACTATTGATGCTAAAAAGGATTACGTTATAAGTTCTCCTTAATCAAATAACAGCAACAATAAGCCCAGTAGAGTTTCGTAAGTGGGGTCTGGGGAAGGTACTGTGTATGCAGACCTTGAGCCCGTTTAGCTTAGCTGATTTAGAGTAGCTGATAAGCATAGGTGCTGAAAAACACTTTTAAGTGCTGAAGCTGATTTAAAAAATAAGCAGTTACGTGTTTGGATAAAAGTGCTGAAATTAATAATAAGCAGCTAAAAAATTGGGTATACTAAGAGTTTTGTTTTAAAAAGAAGTATTTTAGGGATAGAATAGTAAATATTTTGGTCAAACCTAAAGTGCTTATAAGCTGAAATTTGATAAGTTGGGGAGACCAACTTATGACTTTTGGCTTATTTTTGGCTTTTAAGCACTTAACTTGTAAGCACTTTTAATTTTACCAAACGCGTAGATAAGCCAAAAAGTGCTTATAAGCCAGTTTGACCAGCTTATAAGCTTCGCCAAACACCCTCCTTACTCTGTACGCCTAAATCAAATCAAAATGTAAATTTTAAAAAATTAAGGTCATGAAACTAACTTGCTTTTTCATTTTCCAATCTATTATAGATTTGACTTTTTCATTACTTTATTTACTTTCAATGGCGTCTATTTCAAGAAGTTGGAGAGTTCTTGCAAAAAAAAAAAAAAAAAAAAAAAAGAAATCAATTTAATTATTATTTTTTGGCAAAGAAAACATGTTTTTCAGCCAAACTCTAAGAAAGAAAAGGTTTTCAATCTTTCTTAATTTTTACTTTGGCGTTTGGTTGAGAATAATTTTGTCAAAATCTGAAAAACTTCTTGCAACAAATTTTCAATTTTTTTGAAACAAATACCAAATAAATAAAGTCCTTGTGATAAAGACAAAGTAGAGAGGACGTTAATGTAATTACAAAAAGAAGCATTAGCTACTTCTTTAGGACACTGGCAAAGTATAAATACAAACTCCATATTCCTCTAGTCCCTGTCATCGTACATTACGAACAAACGTTTGACACACACAGACCAAAGTTTCAGTACCCAGAAAAAAGTAAAACGAAACAGAGACAGGTACTACTTTGTTAATTAAACGTGTTTTTGCATGTATAATTCTTGAAATTTATGCTGGTTTGATTTTGTAACTTCTAAATATTCGTACTCAAATCTTAGTATGTAGGTGCGTTTGTAAAGACCCAGAAACAGAAAAGCAAGAAGTTAAATTAAGAAGAAGTGGACTAGTTCGTTGCTTTTTTCTGTATGTGCTTAATTATTCTATCGTTTGTTTCCCTTAATCATGAGAGGTTACAAAAATTGAAAGGACTGTTCCTTAACTTACAAAATCATACCAAGTCAGTTGTGACGTTAAGGCCGGGCTCGGATTCGAAGAACTACAATTAAAATAAGAACCTTTCAATAGCTAGGAAGCACAGAAATAGGTATGTATTGCCTTGATATGCGTGTTACCATGTCTTATCAAAGAAAAAACTTCCCCTTTGTATAGTAGAAGAGTTTCATTCCTAGTACAATTCTAAAAAAGGTAAAAATCCTCCTTTCTCGTCAATTTCTGATCCGCTGCCGACGTTGGGCGAGATCTGCGCCTTGATATCCGGTGGGGTGCGGATATCACGGCCCTTTGTTAGTCGCGTGCAACCGTTGCCATGCTTTCTGAGGTCTCGGATCTCGTTCCGGGTTCGGGGAAGTGTTGTCTTATCAGGCCCGGTGGCGAGCACTCCGTTCGGGCCTTAGTACGAGAAGTTCCCAGCTTCGATTCCGATCCCATGTAGTCACGTCCTTGCTTCGTTTGACCCACCGGGAAATTGGGGTGCCCCGGTTTTTCCCCGTATACACAGTGTTCATTGGGTTCTTCTCTTTTTCTATTGATTTTTCATTCATTATCCTGAAAAGTTAAGTCGGAAATTCGCTTGTAAAGTCTATCCTCCAATTTCTTTTCTTTCATTGTATTGTTCAATGATTGAATTGTCTCCAATATACAGTTCAAGCTTCCAATAATTCTGTCTCCAGCTCCTGCTGGCATGACTTATATTGAACTAGTAATATTTTTGTTGTAATTGCTTACAAAGCTAATGCAATAGCTTAAACTCTGATACCATGATATTGAGCATTTATCTCATTGTTTAGTTTCAGAATTAAGTAACCTATGAAACCATAAAGTTCGTCCAGTTTTCCTCTTCTGTATCATTTTAACTTTAGTTGATCCTTGTTTCTCCTAAAATTGATCTGTGAGATCACACTCATTGGTGGAATAAATCTTTGTTGCTGGTTTCTCGTTAGACATGTTTTTCTCTCTATCTGAAACTTCTCTTGCAACTGAGTGAGACAACCACTTTGACTAGCTTGGACTTGAAGGAAAGAATGTTCTGCTAATATGTTTTTTACTTCATGGTAAACGACTGAGCGATATTTCATGTTCTATTAACATTCTTTCCTATAGCCAGAAGATACATTTCTTCTACTGGAGATATCTCAAACACTGCTAGTGAATCGTATAGCCGTGCTGAGAGGATAAACTGTCGTAGTAACATACACATGCCACAAAAGAGTGATAAGTCCTCCGGGAAAGTGCCAAATAATTCAAATGTCTATGCAGCTAACAGTGCTGGAAACCTGAATAGTTACTCTGGGAAGGAAAACTATCAGCATATATGGCAAAGAATTCAGAAAAAGGACGCTAATGTAAGCAACTGTGACTTGAAAAACTCAGACTTCTCGCAGGTTCATGATGGGTTAAATGATGATACCTTGAAAACAAGTGCTCCTATTTTTGTTAATGTTATTTTATCATCGAAATCAGCATTTACAGATCAGGAAAAAATCAAATTTCTGACGGACCTGAGTAGAAATAAGAGTCCAGGTTCCCTAAAGGAACACGAAAGTAAGTATGGGAAAGGATCTCCTGTCAATGGAGCTTGTTGAATTGTACCATGCAGTCAAATGGTGCAACTGGCCGAATAGCTGGGGCAAAAAGCTTGGGAAGTGCTGCAGATTCTCGTACTGAGACTAGTAATCTTAAGATTAGATATCAGAAAAAGAATGTTCAATATGTTTCTTCCCAACCATATTCAAATCCATGTTCCTGTAACATGGAGGCAAGGGGAGATGTCCCAGTCCCAATTTCTGTTTCCAGTGTAGATAATAAAATGGTGGAGGATGGTTTGAACTTGTTATGTAGATCAGCGAACTTCCACAACCCAACAGAGCATCTAGCTTCTAAATGTCAACCTCCTAGTTCGTCTTCTCTGAACGTGGTAATAAATGCAGGTCAAAGTTTAGAAAATATAAAAGTTTTACCAGGTGTTACTCAGTTTAAGAAGTTGAGAAATTGTAACACGTGTACTACTACAGAGGAGCACTACAAGAATGCTGTTTCTTCAAAGTTGTTGATTCCTGGAGATAAAGCCCGTATATTTTCTAGTCTTCAAAATGATTTCAAAAGCATTTGTTGGGCAGTGACTGAGGCCCATAGGGCACAACTAGCCTCTGAAGCCATTGAGTGGGGTAAGGGCTATCCTGTTGCTGAGTTTGAGAAACTTATTTATTTTGCCTCTCCAGTTATATGTCCACATATCCGGACTTGTCAGGCTTGTGTCCGTGGTCAAGGTGCACCTCTATGCAGGCATGAGATACCAAATGTCTCTTTGGGGAACTTGTGGCAGTGGTACGAGAAACATGGGAGCTATGGTTTAGAAGTAAAAGCGGAGGATCATAGAAGTTGTAGACAATGTGGGATTGATCGTCTTAAGTTCAGTGCATATTTTGTTCCACTTTTGTCAGCCGTTCAGCTCTTCAAGTGCCATAGGACTCATGCAAGCTATAAAGATAATGGAACTCCGGGGTCGTTAGATGTGGTGGACTCTCGGATAAATAAAATATCTGAGGGTTCACCTATGATAGACCTTCGCACAATATTTTCTGTACTTGTACCTCAACCTCGTGTTGAGGACTCAAGCCCTTTGCAAAAAAGGAATGTTGTCTCTGACTTCAGTTCATCTCCAGAGTGCAGCAATACAGATTTGCATCACCCACCAGTTGAATTTAAGTTGTCTGATGATAATGTGGAGCTTCTGTTTGAATATTTCGAACGTGAACAGCCTCAAAATCGTAAACCTTTATTTGAAAAGTATGTGGTACTTATGTTGTCTCTTATCATCTTATAAGTAATGTTCAATTTTTCACTGTAATTTTTCATACAAGTAGGTCAAAGTTAAAATATTTACAGGAGATGTCCTCCTATAATCAGTATAATTTATCACTAATCTTGGTAACTTCGGAAAAATATGATGACCAGTCCGTGTCCTCCTACTATGCAACATTAGCCCGTCGTTTGGATGATAGTCATATTGTTTGTGTCAGGCACATCAATTCGTTGCTAAGATGACTTTCTCCTACTTCTGCTTTAGGATTCAGGAACTTGTTGCTGGTAATTTGCCTTCAAGTTCTGGAGTTTATGGAGATCCATCCGTCCTACAGTCCACTCGCTTACCTGACCTGCACCCTTATTCGTGGTTAGTATGGAAAAGGCTTCTAGTATGATTGTATTTAGTTTTTGAATGTGAAGCGCAATGCAAGATTGTGGTCCTTTTTGGAAAAAGCAAATACGGGGAAAGAAGTATGTGGAAGTATAATCATCTTTAAGCTGTAGAGCAAAATTCTATGTAGATCTAATGGTACTTTTGTATTTGCAGGTTTTCTGTTGCATGGTACCCCATTTACAAGATACCAAACGGTAACTTGCGTGCTGCTTTCTTGACTTATCATTCGCTTGGCCATTATGTTGGCAGAGGCCATTTGGATGCCTGCATAGTTTCTCCAGTTGTGGGCCTCCAGAGCTACAATGCTCAGGTTTGATATCAAAGTTTCTTATATAACATTAATATATATATATATATATATATATATATATATATATATATATATATATATATATATATATATATATATATTCTGATATCGCCAATGGATCTTTTACGTGTTACTGCAGATAGTGGCTATGTCTATACATAATCAAAATTGTCGATGTACTAAGCGTGCATTTACACTGCTTTCTTTACCTTAACGACAAAGTTTCACAGAACATGCTGAAGTAGTTTGCTACTGAAAATTGATCCCTTTTCTGACACAATAACGAATAAAAACATTATGCTTCGAATGATACTTATCAGAAATATATTTATAACAAAGCATCAGCACAATTTGCACAGCTATGGGGATTCTTCTTACTGAAATCTGGCACGATAAGTTTTTAAAGCTCTTCTAAGAAAGAAACATATTTTGCTTAATGCAGTCAATGGAAAACTACACGTTTTCTCACTTTGATCAAGCAACTGCAATTTTTGACTAACAACTATGTATATAGCTAACTCAGCCTCAAGTATACTCCGCACTGCAAGCGGCCAAGTCTTTGCATTTTGCCTTTGATTGCGTTTAAGTCACAATTAATACTATTTATATAGATACTATAATACTTATGATAGAATCTGAGTTCTCTCTTGACAAACTCAGATTCATACGCATGCAATTGAGGTATGACGGAATTGAACAATGTTGTAGAGAGAGAAAGTAGAGAGAAGGAGAAGAAGATCTGAATCTGTATTAACCAACAACTGAAGGTACAATATTAACTAATATAACCACTTCACGGTGGTTAGTGGAGAAAGTATGTGAAATGACAAAATTACCCCTCTCTACACTAAGCTATACAAACACTATACTTCCCTTTACTCAATACTCCCCCTCAAGCTGGTGGGTGAAAGACATCAAACACGCCAAGCTTGGACAAGAGGAGCTGATGTTGAGCAGTAGGTAAACCTTTGGTTAGTAGATCACCAAGCTGTTGAGCAGAGGAAATGTGCTGAGGAATGATGAGCCCAGACTTGATCTTTTCACGCACAAAATGGCAATCAAGCTCAATGTGCTTAGTGCGTTCGTGGAAAATAGGATTGCTGGCAATTTGGATAGCTGCCTTGTTATCACAGAATAGGGACACAGGTTGGGATATAGTGAGTCCCAACTCCTGCAACAGACCAACAACCCAAGTGACTTCAGCTACGGCTGCTGCCATGCTCCTATATTCAGCTTCTGTGGAGCTCTTGCTTACAGTATGTTGCTTCTTAGACTTTCAAGAAATGAGTGCTTCACCCAAGTTGACAACATATCCGGTGATTGACCTCCTTGTGTTAGGGCAGGAAGCCCAATCTGAGTCACAATAGGCAGTCAAATTAGTAATAGGACCAGCAAGTAATAACACACCCAGGCCAGGGCAGCCTTTGAGATATTTAACCACTCTAAAGGCTGCCTCTAAGTGTGATTGTTTGGGTCGCTGCATGAACTGGCTTAAGCTCTAAACTGCAAAACTAATATCTGGCCTAGTGATGGTAAGGTAAAGGAGCTTTCCAATTAATGTTGTGGCATCATCAAGCTCTACATCATCAGTATTTCCTACATGAACATCATGATCAACAGCGGTCAGCTTTTGATTAAGTTTCAAAGGTGTCTTAGCAGGTTTACATCCACTCAAACCAACTTGTGAAATAAGTTCCAAGGCATACTTTCTTTGGTTAAGCAAGTTCACCTTTGAACGAGCCTTTTACACAAGTTCCTTCTATGAATCCTAACTTGTTCTTCACCTACAGTGCTGTTCGCATAGCTCGACTCCACAGGCCATAATTTTCTGGGCCTGTGAGTTTTATGTCGATCAATGCCACACCAGGCGTGTCGGATTCTCTTAGATACAAAGGATGATTATGATCAATTCGAGGAATTTCAACTTCTAGTTCTCCCATGGCCGATCTGCTTCAGCAATGGCTTCATATGAAAAATTGGAAAATTTTATTGAACAATGTTGTAGAGAGAGAAAGTAGAGAGAAGGAGGAGAAGATCTGAATCTGTATTAACCAACAACTGAAGGTACATTATTAACAAATATAACCACTTCACGGTGGTTAGTGGAGAAAGTCTATGAAATGACAAAATTACCCCTCTCTACACTAAGCTATACAAACACTATACTACCCTTTACTCGATAACCTAACTCTTACTTCAATGCCTTTCTGGTTCCTAACACTTGTCCGCTGGCATGTTGTCATTCACGCATGTAGATATGAAATACACAACGATGATATTGTTTTTCTTTCTTTTTCTATGAATTGTGAAACTAGGGTGAATGCTGGTTTCAGCCAAGGCACTCTGCGGACCACCTGAAAGAAGTGACCTTGGATTCAGATCCTTGTTCAGTTGTACGAGATCGACTGAAAACATTAGAGCAGACTGCATCTCTTATGTCGCGAGCTCTGAGAACGAGAGGTACAGAAACACTTGTAAACAGGCACCCCGATTATGAGTTTTTCCTGTCCAGGCGACGTGAATTGCCTTGATCTATCATATTGCTCAACCATATATATATATATATATATATATATAATTCTCATCAAAGGTTTTCCGGGTGTTCCCAGCTTCCACCATAATCTGAGTCCAACTATGAGAGGCTTACGTCCATTTCAATATTCTTAAATTTCTGGTTTGGAGATTCTTGTTTTGCATTGAAGTTAGGCACTCTCTTTACACAGTGTAGTAGCATGTTGTTATAAGGATTCCTTTTCTGGATAAAAATAGTGTTGGCTGGTTTTGGCTTTGGTGCTAGTTAATTCTGAGATAGCTGATAATTTTAGATTGAATGTTTTGTTATCTATCTGTGTATATGATACACTAATCTGACTGTTGGAATCACATCCTGCAGCTAATACATAAATCTTTCATTTTCTCACATGCTCCCTCCGTTCCAGTTTGTGTGAACCTGTTTCCTTTTTGGTCCGTTTAAAAAAAAATGACCTCTTTCTAAATTTGGAAACAATATATGGAAACAATTTAGCTTAAGCTTCCAATTCTACCTTTGATGAGAAGCGTTTACAACCACACAAATATTCTGGACCCCTTTTTGACTTGTTTAGGACCACAAATTCAAAAGTTTTTATTTTTTCTTAAACTCTATGCCCAGTCAAACAAGTTTACATAAATTGGAACAGAGGGAGTACATGATACGGGCAGAGTGAATTAATCGATATGGGCACAAGCGGAGTTGGACATCAAAATTATAGAAAATATTTTTGTAAAGTAACATTCGGAAGTAGGAATTTTAATTCTTTGAAAACTCTAAATTTATGAAATATTAGATTCTTTTACTCTTCTAATTTTATTCAGCCGGATAATCGTTATTAATTTGTTGCCATAACTAATTGGTTCTATTTACCTTTGTATATATCCAAGGATTTAAATTATACTGACTGAGTCTAAAGAAATATAACACTGGCTATCAATGCAAATTAACTGACTTTAATAGGTGATCACTTTATTTTTCCGGCTACCATATCGGTCTTGTTGTAAAAAGTTATCTGTTGTTGTGGATCAATTTAATTTGATGGTTTATAAAAAATCAATACAGCCAATGCACAAAACCTATAAAAAATAAATTCATCCACTAGCACATTTATTTCTTTCTATTTTCCATCTCTATGATGCTTTTTAAATACTTACCAAAAAAATAATAACTATCTATAATATGATCATTTAAAATCTATGCATAAGTAGAAAAATGGAAATATAATAATTAATGGAGATTTTTTTTATGGATACATGCATGTATAAATATCCACTCTCTATTCTAAATAATCAATCACAGTAGAAGAAAATATTTCTAACTGAAGGAACCATGAGTTTTGCTAAGAAGGTGATGGTGATTTTTCTGCTTATAGTCATTCTGGCTATGCTGGAAGGTGCTCAGGCAGATGTGCCATCTTGTTGTTGGTGGGACCCTTACTGCTGTGAGACCTCCCTTCAAAAAGGATTACCAAGGCATAGCCATTGGCAAGTGGAATTTATTCAATCAAAGACATAGATCTCCTTGTTCTCGATAGAACTATATGGATATGAATCTTTTTGTTCTGAATAGAACTATCATGAAATTAATAAAGCTTTTACTGCTTTTTTGGTGTTTGTTTCTCTTATATTAAGTATGTTCATGTTTATCCGTAAAACATTACGGTTGAATTTATACGTGGTTTCTAGGCAAGTGACCTAATTTGATCCTGAAATAATAAAATAATCGAAGAATTATGCAATACTTAGCCTTGAAATATAGACGAAAGAAGCAACAGTTCTGGGAACAAGGTTTCGGGGCACAACAATAAAAAAAATCAAAAAACGAGAAAGTAAGATTGTATTAAGCTTTGTATAGAATGTAGTGTAAGTTTGCCAAAAAATTCGTATCCTTTACAATGATAGCTGAGCTCACCATTTATAGCTATGTCTACGGAAGGAGGTCCTAGGGTGTGCCCTTCTTTAATGTCAATTATGAGGGTCATTGATGAAGATGTAAATAGTTAGTCAATATTAAAAGAAATCTTACCTTTCTGGGAGCCGGCGACAGCGATCCCATGATGTCCATCCCCCATTCCATAAACGGCCACGGGGCGAACCGAATGTAAGTGTTCTTCCGGTTGATGCACCTAGTGGTGCGTAGCGTTGGCACTTATCACATTTTCGTACGAAGTCTTTAGCAACTTGTTCCATCCGAGGCCAGTAATATCGTGCCCTTACCAACTTAAGCACCAAGGAATCTACGCCCGAGTGCTTGCCGCATATCCCTTCGTGGACCTCTCTCATGACATAGTTAGCTTTGGATGCTCCTAAGCATCGGGCCAACGGGCCTTGGAAAGATTTTCTATATAATTGGCCTCTCATGAAGCTATATCGTGCTGCTTTGGTGCACAGCGCCCGGGATGCTTTGGGGTCTTCGGGTATCTTCCCGTGCTCGAGATAATCGATGATTTCATTTCTCCAGTCCCAGACCAAATTAGTCGAATTTACCTTATAGTAACCATCCGCATCCAGGACTGAGTTCATCAGTTGCACTACCGTTCCGGACTCCGATCCCTTTATTTCCATCGATGATCCTAAGTTTGCCAATGCGTCTGCTTCTGCATTATCTTCCCTTGGGATATGAGTAATTGCCACTCCCAAAATCGCTCCAACAGAGTCTGGACTTTCACCATGTATTATTTCATGCCCTCCTCTTTGGTTTGAAAGATCCCGTAGACCTGGTTTACCACCAACTGCGAGTCGCATTTGATTTCGATGGCCTTGGAGTCAAGTCCCCGGGCCAATTCGATCCCTACAATCAAAGCTTCGTACTCTGCTTCATTGTTAGTTAAACCGTTCTGATGGCTTGCCTTAGGGTTTCCCCAGAAGGCGTGATTAAGACTATTTCGAGCCCGGACCCTTTTACGTTGGAAGATCCGTCCGTAAGTAAGGTTCGAACCCCCGATGTCGATTCTGACACCATTATTACCTCCTTGGTTGCCGAAGGCAATAATCCAGGACTGAAATCAGCCATGAAGTCAGCTAAGACTTGCGACTTAATTGTAGTCCTTGGTTTATATTCTATGTCGAATTCACTCATTTCGACGGCCCATTTGGCCAATCTACCTACGAGCTCGGTCTTATGAAGGATGTTCCGCAAAAGGAAAGTAGTCACCACGGCTATTGGGTGACATTTAAAGTAGGGCCTCAGCTTCCGAGCAACAAGTACGAGAGATAAGGCCCGTTTCTCCAAATCTGGGTTGCGTGTTTCTGCTCCCGTTCAAATTTTACTAACATAATAAATGGGAGATTGCGTACCTTCGTCCTCTCGGACTAAAACCGCACTTACCGTAACTTCCGAGGCAGCAAGGTAAACTAGCAGCATTTTATCTTCTTTTGGTTTTTAAAGCAATGGAGAGCTTGATAAGTACCTCTTCAAATCCCTCAAAGCTTGCTGGCACTCCGGTGTCCACTCAAAATTATTTTTCTTTTTGAGCAGTGCGAAGAAGCGATGACATTTTTCTGACGACCGGGAAATGAACCTGGTTAAAGCTGCCAACCTCCTTGTGAGCCTTTGGACTTCCTTTATGTTTGACAATTGGTCCAAGATGTCTTCTATGGCCTTGATTTTATCGGGGTTTACCTCGATTCCCCTTTGTGAGACCAGAAATCCTAGAAACTTACCAAAGCTAACCTCGAACGCACATTTCTCGGGATTAAGTTTCATATTATGCTTCCTCAGGATGTCGAAAGTTTCGTGCAAATATTTAAGGTGATCACCTGCATTCAAAGAGTTATGAGCATATCGTCTATATAAACTTCCATAGTTTTTCCTATTTGATTTTCAAACATCTTGTTCACGAGCAGTTGATAAGTGGCTCCGACGTTTTTCAACACGAAGGGCATCACATTGTAACAATATGTATCGAAATTCGTTATAAACGAAGTCTTTTCTTAATCTTCCGGGTTCATCTTAATTTGGTTGTACCTAGAATAAGCATCGAGGAAACTCATTAACTCGATCCCGACCGTGGCATCAATCATTTGATTGATATTTGGCAGTGGGAACGAGTCTTTCGAGCACGCCTTTTTAAGATCTTTATAATCTACACACATGTAGAATTTATTGTTCTTCTTAGGAACTACTACTACATTGGCTAGCCAGTCTGGATATCTTACCTCTCGGATCGAACCGATATTAAGTAAGCGGGTTACCTCTTCCTTGACGAATTTATTCCTGGCTTCGACAATAGGGTATTTCTTTTGTCTTGCTGGGGGTATGTTAGGATCCAAGCTTAACTTGTGTACGACTACCTCCGCCGGGATGCCTATCATATCCTCATGTGACCATGCAAAATAATCGGCATTAAGGAATTCAATAATATCAGACCTGAGCTCCGGGTGTAGTCCCGTTCCTAAGTGGCTTTCCTTTCTAGGAATTCTTAGAAAAATGCAACTTGCTCCAGTTCTTCCGCTGTTTATTTCATTGCATCCGCCTCTTCTAGAACTTGAAAATATCTCGGCACCTGATAATATTCCGACACCTCTGTCCCTGGGTTAACTTTTTCTAGTTTGGGAGTAGGTTCCGGTTCTTGTCATTGCTATGCCACGTGTTCCTTTACTTTGCTACTGGAAATCGAAATCGTGTTCATCTCCTTTGCCGCCGGCTGATCTTCCTTTATCTGCTTAATTCCCTCGGGCGTTAGGAACTTCAGCAATTGATGATATGTTGATGGTACATCTTTCATCTCGTGCAACCAGGGTCTTCCCAAAATGATAGTGTATCCCATATCACCATCTACCACTTCGAAAAGAGTCATTTTCATTACTCCTTCAGCGTTCCTGAGTAATAAAATTTCTCCCCGGGTTGTCACTGTCGAGCCCCCTTTTTTCCTCCTTGCGGAGAAAGGTCTGAGTTTCGACATTCCATGGGGAAATAACTCTTCTCCTTTTGGGAATTGGGTTTTTGAAGACTCGCCACCTAGCGAATTATGGTGCGTTAGGGCACCTTGAGCAGTTAACTCATGGACTAGTTTGCATTACCAGAGATTTAGGGTAAGGGCTCAAAATAACCTTGAGGGAAAGGTGTTAGGCACCCCTCGCGGTCCACAACGGTGGGTCCCGACCAAACTTATATTCATGTAAATTAGTCCTTTTAACAAATAGACAGTTTAAGCACGTACTTGCAAGTAAAGGCACGTTTTGACATTCTAAGCACATGTATGATCCAAATAAATGAAACAAGGGAAAAGGTTTGAACAAATTGTACATATATGAAGAAAAGTAAATTCATTTTAAACAACGGTAGTTGGGAAAGGGG